AAAACGTTTCATAAAGGCGACGTTTTGCACTAACTTTCATCTGTACTTTACTAAAGTTCGAGTAAGAATGACGCCTCAAAGCCTCGAGCAGAAATATTCAAATTTGCCACGAATGAGTGAACCACACCCTTGTTTGGTGCTGGTCAGATTTTTACGAGCTCTGATTGGTTTAGCTTGCAAAAGCTTTGCTATCATTGGCTACTGCTAAATGCATGCATTGGTCTGAAATCCCTAGGGGATTAAATACGGTCGCTTGGAATGTTTAATTATTTGAATAATTAGCTTGTTTACGCGTTTGAAGCTGAGGCCATCGAGACATTTTAAGTTAGGTCTTTGTTTATTGAATCATGGATGATTATTTTATTTATCAGCTTTTGTCTTGAAAACTCAGTTTTGCCAGTAAACTGTTTGTATAACAATAAGCTGCAGAGCAAGGGGAACACATTCTTTTGAAATAATTTTTCAACTAATAATTTCAGTACAATAAGGACTTCAAGATTGACAATTAATTAACCGCAAAGAGTGCAAGTCGCAAACAGTTCAAATCTTGTTTTTTCGATTCTGAGTTTAAAGATTCGGGGTTTTTTCGATCCCTGATCTTAAATATTCAGGGGGGCCGGTTTTCGATTCCTGATTTGGGATTTTTTCGATTCTGAGTTTAAAGACTCTCGATCGGGGGTCTTCCGATCTCTGATCTTAATGTAAAGATTCGGGGGTTTTTGGATTCTGATTTTAAAGATTCGGGGGTTTTTCGATTCCCAATCTTAAAGATTCGGGGGGTTTTCGATTTTGAGTTTAAAGATTCGGGGGTTTTTGGATTCTGAGTTTTAAGATTCGGGAGTTTTTGGATTCTGAGTTTTAAGATTCGGGGGTCTTTCGATTCCTGATGTTAAAGATTCGGGGGTTTTCGATTTCTGATCTTAAAGTTCGGGGGTTTTCGATTTTGAGTTTAAAGATTCGGGGGTTTTTCGATTCTGAGTTTAAAGTTTCGGGGCTTTTCCGATTCCTGATCTTAAAGATTCGGGGGGTTTTGGATTCTGAGTTTTAAGATTCGGGGGTTTTTCGATTCTGAGTTTAAAGATTCGGGGGGTTTTCGATTCCTGATCTTAAAGATTCGGGGTTTTTTGGATTCTGAGTTTTAAGATTCGGGGATTTTTCGATTCTGAGTTTAAAGATTCGGGGGGTTTTCGATTCCCAATCTTAAAGATTGGGGGGTTTTTCGATTCCCAATCTTAAAGATTCGGGGGTTTTCGATTCCCAATCTTAAAGATTCGGGGGTTTTCGATTCCCAATCTTAAAGATTCGGGGGGTTTTCGATTCCTGATCTTAAAGATTCAGGGGTTTTCGATCCCCAATCTTAAAGATTCGGTGGTTTTCGATTCCTGATCTTAAAGATTCGGGGGTTTTCGATTCACAATCTTAAAGATTCGGGGGTTTTCGATTCCCAATCTTAAAGATTCGGGGGTTTTCGATTCCTGATCTTAAAGATTCAGGGGTTTTCGATCCCCAATCTTAAAGATTCGGGGTTTTTCGATTCACAATCTTAAAGATTCGGGGGTTTTCGATTCCCAATCTTAAAGATTCGGGGGTTTTCGATTCCCAATCTTAAAGATTCGGGGGTTTTCGTTTCCCAATCTTAAAGATTCGGGGGTTTTCGATTCTTGATCTTAAAGATTCGGGGTTTTTCGATTCCCAATCTTAAAGATTCGGGGGTTTTCGATTCCCAATCTTAAAGATTCGGGGGTTTTCGATTCCCAATCTTAAAGATTCGGGGGTTTTCGATTCTTGATCTTAAAGATTCGGGGGTTTTCGATTCCCAATCTTAAAGATTCGGGGGGTTTTCGATTCCTGATCTTAAAGATTCGGGGGTTTTCGATTCACAATCTTAAAGATTCGGGGGTTTTCGATTCCCAATCTTAAAGATTCGGGGGTTTTCGATTCCTGATCTTAAAGATTCAGGGGTTTTCGATCCCCAATCTTAAAGATTCGGGGTTTTTCGATTCACAATCTTAAAGATTCGGGGGTTTTCGATTCCCAATCTTAAAGATTCGGGGGTTTTCGATTCCCAATCTTAAAGATTCGGGGGTTTTCGTTTCCCAATCTTAAAGATTCGGGGGTTTTCGATTCTTGATCTTAAAGATTCGGGGTTTTTCGATTCCCAATCTTAAAGATTCGGGGGTTTTCGATTCCCAATCTTAAAGATTCGGGGGTTTTCGATTCCCAATCTTAAAGATTCGGGGGTTTTCGATTCTTGATCTTAAAGATTCGGGGGTTTTCGATTCCCAATCTTAAAGATTCGGGGGTTTTTCGATTCCTGATCTTAAAGATTCGGGGGTTTTCGATCCCCAATCTTAAAGATTCGGTGGTTTTCGATTCCTGATCTTAAAGATTCGGGGTTTTTCGATTCCCAATCTTAAAGATTCGGGGGTTTATCGATTCTGAGTTTAAAGATTCGGGGGTTTATCGATTCTGAGTTTAAAGATTCGGGGGTTTTTCGATTCTGAGTTTAAAGATTCGGGGGGTTTTCGATTCTGAGTTTAAAGATTCGGGGGTTTATCGATTCTGAGTTTAAAGATTCGGGGGGTTTTCGATTCTGAGTTTAAAAATTCGGGGGGTTTTCGATTCCCAATCTTAAAGATTCGGGGGTTTTCGATTCCCAGTCTTACTTAAAGATTCGGGGGTTTTTCGATTCCTGATCTTAAAGATTCGGGGGTTTTTCGATTCCTGATCTTAAAGATTCGGGGGTTTTCGATTCCCAATCTTAAAGATTCGGGGGTTTTCGATTCCTGATCTTAAAGATTCGGGGGTTTTCGATTCCTGATCTTAAAGATTCGGGGGTTTTCGATTCCCAATCTTAAAGATTCGGGGGTTTTCGATTCCCAATCTTAAAGATTCGGGGGTTTTCGATTCCCAATCTTAAAGATTCGGGGGGTTTTCGATTCCCAATCTTAAAGATTCGGGGGTTTTCGATTCCCAATCTTAAAGATTCGGTGGTTTTCGATTCCCAATCTTAAAGATTCGGGGGTTTTCGATTCCTGATCTTAAAGATTCGGGTTTTTTTCGATTCCCAATCTTAAAGATTCGGGGGTTTTCGATTCCCAATCTTAAAGATTCGGGGGGTTTTCGATTCCTGATCTTAAAGATTCGGGGGTTTTCGATCCCCAATCTTAAAGATTCGGTGGTTTTCGATTCCTGATCTTAAAGATTCGGGGTTTTTCGATTCCCAATCTTAAAGATTCGGGGGTTTTCGATTCCCAATCTTAAAGATTCGGGGGTTTTCGATTCCTGATCTTAAAGATTCGGGGGTTTTCGATTCCCAATCTTAAAGATTCGGGGGTTTTCGATTCCCAATCTTAAAGATTCGGGGGTTTTCGATTCCCAATCTTAAAGATTCGGGGGGTTTTCGATTCCCAATCTTAAAGATTCGGGGGTTTTCGATTCCCAATCTTAAAGATTCGGTGGTTTTCGATTCCCAATCTTAAAGATTCGGGGGTTTTCGATTCCTGATCTTAAAGATTCGGGTTTTTTTCGATTCCCAATCTTAAAGATTCGGGGGTTTTCGATTCCCAATCTTAAAGATTCGGGGGGTTTTCGATTCCTGATCTTAAAGATTCGGGGGTTTTCGATCCCCAATCTTAAAGATTCGGTGGTTTTCGATTCCTGATCTTAAAGATTCGGGGTTTTTCGATTCCCAATCTTAAAGATTCGGGGGTTTTCGATTCCCAATCTTAAAGATTCGGGGGTTTTCGATTCCTGATCTTAAAGATTCGGGGGTTTTCGATTCCCAATCTTAAAGATTCGAGGGTTTTCGATTCTTGATCTTAAAGATTCGGGGGTTTTCGATTCCCAATCTTAAAGATTCGGGGGTTTTTCGATTCCTGATCTTAAAGATTCGGGGGTTTATCGATTCTGAGTTTAAAGATTCGGGGGTTTTTCGATTCTGAGTTTAAAGATTCGGGGGGTTTTCGATTCTGAGTTTAAAGATTCGGGGGTTTTCGATTCCCAATCTTAAAGATTCGGGGGGTTTTTCAGCAACAAAGTTGGACTCGTTTGAACCGGACTTTATTTAAATACGTCTACATGCTTTAACATATTAACAGTAATCGTTCATTCTCCAAATCTGCCACTTAAAATCTCTTCAAATATTTCTCGCACCTTAATTAAAAGAAAAACAAAAGAGATATTAGATTAAAATCTCACAATTTGTGAGGGTTTTGTCGGCAGTTAGAAGGCAGTAGAATTTCAGAAATGTTGGGAGTTATTAAAGGCAACTAACTGAGACACTTCCTTACAAACGTTTCTTACAAATCTTTCAAAACTTTAAATTTTCCGATGCAAAATTCCTACTGTAATCACAAAAGCTTTGATTGTTTAAACCAGCCTTTAAACAGCAATATAGGTTGCTACCATAGATAAGTTAAACCTATTCCAAATACATTTTTAAACTATTCAAATGGTGGAAGTTATTGTTGTTTTTTAAGCGTTTATTAGCGAGTGGTAAACACCAACATGGCCGCCATCTATTCAAATGGAGGTAACCGTTAGGAATATTCTTGACTTCAATTTTACTAAAGGAGATGCGCTATCTAGTGTATATATACAGTAAGAGATCTATGGTTTCTACTTAAAGGCGGATTTCCATTCAGTGGAAAATGTTGTGGGGTCGACTTTTTGCGATCGCTTTCTTTTGAAATACAAACAGTGAAGCGGAACAAATATCATTATTAGCTGTAGTCGACTGCACACATTTCAAAAGAAAGCGATCGCAAAAAATCGATAGTGCGACATTCTGCACTGAATCGAAATCCGCCTTTAAGACTGGTTTCCATATGGTCGTAACGTAACTTTCTCATCAGCCGAAATACAACATTGTAGAACTGATACGCGGAGTGATTATAACCGGAGAATACTTATGATTTACAGGTATAAACTATTATAAAGTGGCCGTTGAGAAAGATCGCGACTCAATTTCTACGACCAGTACGATCACATGGAAACCAGAGCCTTGGGCTAGTATTCCACCAAAGGTCGTAGGTTCGATTCCCACCGTGGACAGGCATATTTTTCAAGCTTGCCCGGTGTGGATATACACTCAGAGTAACATCACAAGCATCATATTCACCTGAGTACATTACACCAACACAGCAAAAAATCAGGCTTAAGCAATTAAAAGACAATAGTGAAAAGTTCTTAGAAAAACCAAAATAGATGGTGCCCCCTTACACATCAAATAGGAGGGGGTGGAGGGCGACACCCATAAATGACCCGTGAAACTCCGATAGACCCTCCGTGGGCCTCCATATAAATCTCTAACTAACCTTTTCCGTACTCTTTGTCATATTATAGACTATGCTTTCAACATGCCTTTTGAACGCCATGTCTTCTGCGGGTGTCAGTATTGACGGATTTTTGGAGGAACCGCTGTCTTCGATCTTAGAGAACATCCTTTGTGATAGATCATCTTCGAACCAAAAGTTTAGAGACACTGTACAACTGGAATAGCAAAAAATCCGCTCTTTATAATGCACAATCTATCAGTAGGAACTATTAAACTAAAATATTCATGACAAATTATTCGTGGATTGTGTCTGAACTACCTCAAAAAGATATCTCAAACGTGGTGGTCCAGTGTACTGTAGGTAGTATTATACAATAAGCTGTCGTGGTTTGTGTCTGAACTACCTGAAAAAGATATCTCAAACGTGTTGGTCCAGTGTAGGTAGTATTCTACAATAAGTTGTCGTGGTTTGTGTCTGAACTACTTGAAAAAGATATCTCAAACATGGTGGTCCAGTGTAGGTAGTATTCTACAATAAGCTGTCGTGGTTTGTGTCTGAACTACCTGAAAAAGATATCTCAAACGTGGTGTGTCCAGTGTAGGTAGTATTCTACAATAAGCTGTCGTGGTTTGTGTCCGAACTACCTGAAAAAGATACAGGTATCTCAAACGTGGTGGTCCAGTGTAGGTAGTATTCTGTAATAAGCAGCTGTCGTGGTTTGTGTCTGAACTACGTGAAAAAGATATATTAAACGTGGTGGTCCAGTGTAGGTAGTATTAAACTGTCATTTGAGATACCTAAAGTTTCAAAAAATATAACCTACTTGTTTTTATTGGATTCAACATGATGCCACCAATTCGTGGGGACATACAAGACATCTCCTGGTTCTAGGATTGCCTCGAGGGCTTCAACATTCCGGAACTTTGGAAATCTTTCATAATCTGGCTTGTCTAAATCAACTTGCGACTGGCGATCATGAGGGTGTCCGACTGGGTGGGGGTACAGATTGGTGGATTGATCAGGACCGAATAGGATGAAACGCTTCTTCCCTTGCAGCTAAAAGAAAAATTTTTATTTTTTAGGAAAGGTTGTCTGAAGAATAGGTGAACACCCAAAGGGGGGAAAGACAACTAAGATATGGCCCTGGTTTCCAGATGAAATTCCAGGACTTTGGAAGACGTTTTTCAGAAAATCCGAGGGCCTAAACCTATAGAAATGTCTTTCCAAATGGCACAGATTTTCTTTTTTGAAACATCACTATTTATTCAAAACCAGTAATCTATAAATAATGTTCAACTATTATCAGCACAGCTCGAAAGGGATTCCAGGACCTTCAAGGACTGCAGTAATTTTCAAGAACTTCCCAGGACGGGACTTATTTCAAATTCAAGGAAATTCAAGAAATTCAAGGAAGGCATGTACCAGAGAAAAGTTCAAAGATTCCTACCTGTATAAATACGTTTTGCATGATATCGTAGTGTAACGGTGTTACAACGTTAGGCATACCAACGAATAACATATTAAGAACATTGGTACTCCAGCCAAGCTCGAATGCAACATGAAGTAACCAGTTGTAGTCGAAATTATTGAGATCACTTTTGACAGATGTGTTACGGTCTTCGTTAAGAAGCAAAGTCTAGGAATGAGACAAGTCTGACAGTTAATTCTAAACTGCTCTCCCTACAAGTTAAGTAACCCAAAACTAGGCTAACTTTGTCTATACTCGATAGCTGTAGCAGTTCTAAACTGTTCTTCCTAGAGGTCCAACAACGATCATCTCTTATAGATCCATTGTTACTACAGGAGGAAACCTAAGCTAAACTAACTTTATTTAATATGCTGTATAGCTCTATCAGTTCTAAACTGTTTTCCCTGGAGGTCCAGTAAGGATCATAAACTAACTTTATTTATACAGTTTTTATATACCTGAAAATAAGCATGTGTTCCATTGTTCATACTGGAAAGTTCGGAAGCAATTTCCAAAAATTCCTCAAGGCTGTTGTATTGGATTCTATAGGGCGGTCTCCAGCCAGCTTTCTCGTAATTCTGATAATCAACAGTGCTATCATAATAAAGAAATTTCCTAGAATTTGATACAGACACGCCATATTCATCTGTCAGTTCTTTGGATAAGTAGGGAAGACTCCATTTTAATGCCTGATTGAAGAATTGGCAGCCTTTCAATACTACGGGTTTCTATATGGCGAAAGGGGAAGAAATGAATTGTATAATTATTGCAGTTATATCTGACAGCTTATGAATATGAAAAACTCATTAAACTGTTCAGTAACAGTCGAGGAAAACTACCTACTTTTAATCCTATCCATTTAACTGGGTCATCAAGAAGACAATCAGCAACCGTGACTGGCGTTCTTGGAAACGGGAACACACTGAAAAATTCTGGATGTTCTACGTTCGCTACATTCAGTTTTGTAACATTTGCATTAGTAAAATTTTCAGTGGGAAAGTGCACACGTGTCACGTCTATCAACCGTGGAATACAACCTAAAAAAGAGTAATTATTTTTCAAACAAAACCAAACCATCTTCATCAGTTCTAAACTGTTCTCCCTAGAGGTCCAGTAAGGATGATCTCTTATTGATCCAGTGTTACTACAGGAGGAAACCTAAACTAAATTAACTTTATTTATACTGGATAGCTCTATCAGTTCTAAACTGTTCTCCCTAGAGGTCCAGTAAGGATCATCTCTCATTGATCCAGTGTTACTACAGGAGAAAACCTAAACTAAATTAACTTTATTTAAACTGGATAGCTCTATCAGTTCTAAACTATTCTTCCTAGAGGCCAGTAAGGATCATCCCTTATTGATCCAGTGTTACTACAGGAGGAAACCTAAACTAAACTAACTTTATTTATACTGGATAGTTGTATATCATGCAGAATCAATAAACTGACTCCGTTTTTAATACATTTAGAATTAATTACGTCTCAACATAGGGCCTATATGATAGATGACATCTAATAGACCTTTTAAAAGATAATTTACCGCGGATATTAAAACTTCATACCGTAATTCATCAAACTTTCACTTTCACATCCCACTGATAAGCTCAGAAACAACATGAAAAGATCACAACCTTTTCTTGAAATCAACATATTTCTAAATAGAAGAAAAGAGTTTACTTTAATTCTAAATTACAACCAAAATATAGTGACTACAAAGAATAATGAATGATAACTATATAACGCCAGCTTCGTTTTTCATTTGTCGCGTTTCAAATCACTACAGATAATAAACTCGGTCTCGTTTGTGATATATTACATAAATATCTTCTACTTTATTTCAAAATTACATGTCCTTAAAAAGAAGGCAAAAAATCAAAATAATTATTTTACTTTCATTCATTTTATATTGCACTTTTTCCCATACTCATCCAAACTCAAAATCCCAAACAAACAATAGCCGTACTCAAAGAGCATTTTATAATCTTATGAAATTTATTATGTATACATAAGGCAATGTTCTAAACCCAGTTTAATAATTTAACTTTGTAATAAAATTAAAACCACTTACTTTTTATTGGATATATTCGCTCGACGAAAATCTTTAAGGTGGCTGTACTTGAAAAAAACCTAGCTACTCATATAAAATACGAAACAATGAAAAAGTTAAGTACAGTGCACATAAGTTTAGAAAAGTTTGAAAGTGCTCCTTTAGGTAGAACAGTGATGGCGCAAATGAGTCCTTGACTTTTTGTACACAAGGCCATAAAGTGAAGCGTGGGTCCTTTATCAGATGTTTACGGCACCTGAATGCGATAAGTCAAATTAAATATAAGGAAATGACGCGGCCTCCTCACATTGTGAGCATCCCATTGTGTTCATTGTTCGATATGATCGGATGGCCCACCTGCCAGCCACGTAAGTCAGACTTAATTGAAAAATACACAGCTCATATTACGCTATCGTATCGACGTTCCTTAAAATGATTAAATAGCTGTTGTGTACATTATTTTGTACACTTTAAAAATCGTGAATTTTGAACGATGCATGGGTGGAAGACGCCCTCTTATCCATCGAATTATTACTGATTCATTTTTAATTCGTTCGCGATTTCCAGTTTTAAAATGTTTGTTGTATAGGGCGAAATAGTTGAAGGATTACGGTTTACAAGTGATCGAATCTTAGAAATAATTGAAAATTTTATTTTTTGTTCTTTAATTTAAGGTAAAAAATTTATTGTTGGCTAGAGTGTTATACGAGCTTGCTTCAGAATTTAGAAGAAAAACATGTCTTGAAGTTAGCAATTATTTCACTCTTTCAAAAGTACTCAAAGAGGAAAAAAGCGGACATTTTGGGAAAATGTAATCAAATTTAGAACTCTAAGTCGTAATCTGGGTCTTGATTACAATTCGACTGGGCTTTGTAATCATTTATTTAAGCCAGAGTAGCGAGCTAAACATGATTGATATACCTGGTTGCAGTGAACGAACAAACTTTAAATCTAACGCCCGTATTCTAAAAGCTCACTCACACTCAATGAGTGGAGTTTCAATCTTGAGCTTCTCTTGAGTGCCAATGCTGTTTTTGAATAGCTGGGGGGTGAGTAGTCACATACTAGTAAGGTACGCCACTAACCCTCCAGCTATTCAAAAACAGCATTGACACTCAAGGGAAGCTCAGATTGAACCTCCACTCATTAAGTGTGAATGTGAGTGAGCTTTTAGAATACGGGCGTAGTCGTTAGGTTGTCGTGAACATATTTCGTGGACATATAACTCGTCATTACTCCTTCAAACCGACAAAATATCAACTTATCCCATGAATTTCATAGCGCCTGTTCCACCGTTATCACCAATATCTGTCATACATGAATGTAGTTCATCAATGTACATGCACATATCTTCATTCCGTTGTTCCCTCCTTCTTCCCTGAGGTACAAAGGAATAGTCCTACCTCGATTTGTCTTTTATACACTTTAATGAAAGTCTATTAGACTTACAGATCCTTAACTTAGAAATCAAGGGTACACAACTCATCATCCATAAGGGAATCATCACCAAACAAAAAGTCAGAACAATTGCTTTCGGAATCACTAGCCTCCTTTTCAACAACAGTAATTTCTTTTTGCAAATCTTTCCGGACATCATCAGAACAGTCATTGTTACCAGAAATTTCGATTATTTTACCATCAGCATATGGAATGTCATTCCGGGGTGCCTCGGGATTATCGGATATTTCAATTGCATCAGGTTTATCAGAGATTCCATATACATCACCGTTATCTACGATATCTGATATTTGATCACTGTACGTATTCTCATTGTCGAAAATTGGTTCGCTATCAAATATTTCTTGAACCGGAATTAACTCAGATGTCTTATTGGAGCTGGAGTCACAACTTGGCGTGGCCTCAGTCTCGACAGGACAGTCCTGGGCGTGAGCCTCAGGCTCATTTGATGGTTTGAATGTTCTTTTACCTCCATTGCTTTTTCTGGATTTTCGTGGCTTTTTTGGTTTAGAGGAAGTGCCTTCGGTGAAATTATCATCCACCTTGGGGCGTCTTTCGTTCCACCGTTTGATGTACGACACAGATGACTGAAAACCTTCAGGTGACTCTACAGAAACAAATCATGAACCAATTTATAAACGGTTTAATGGCGCCCAAACTTAACTTCTCAGGAAGGGCCATGGCACCCGAGAGAAGTCGAAGTGTTTTTGATTTTTGAGCTAGTCCAGACTGCAAAAACTACGGCAGCTACAGTATAATTGTATTCAAAATCTCGGTTGGTGTCATTGTAGGCAGAGACAGCTGCAGTGTAAAGGATATAAAACGACCTGGAAAATATAAGCAGACCTTCGAATCCAATTCAAGAACTTTTCAAGGCCATGTATAAGCAAATTCAAGGACTAAATACTGTAGAGAAGGCGTTAAAAATCCGAGTAAAATCTGAAGTTGAATTGTTCAAAACGCAACATCAGTGAGTTTCATACAGCTTTCAACATGCACTAAATCAATTCAATAAAATGTCCGTTTTTGAATGTCAAACAATTTCAGAAAATATTCATAAACTAAAACAACAAGAATTTAAGTACTTTCAAGTACTTCTTTACAAATTCAAGGACATTCAAGTTAGTAGCGTGGACAGCCGGAAAAGCACAATTAATTTCCCGAGCCACGCTATTACCTTAACTTTCCAACGAAGCGACCTCGCTCGAAGGGCCGAAGTTCTGCTTGGATTTTTCAGGTACTGTAGCTAAATATCCTTCACAATATACAAAGTAATTGTGTTCGCTTCGCAACGTAGAGAATGAGTTAAGAAAATGACGAACATAACATTGACATCAATATACCTCTACAAAATGTAAGAATCTTGCTCCACAGGGAATTTGATGATAAAATTTTGCCACATCCAACAATACAGAGATGTCTAGAAGAAAAATGTCAGAAAGTTGAGTAGGACGAAGGTTTTTCGTTCAACAACGGTAAATATAGTACCTTTTAGCTCTTGTCAATGCGACGTTCGTTCGCCTGTTGAGAAAGAGAGAAACGTCAGCTTGTCAAACGCATAGCATAAAATTTACATGTATAAATGCTTGTATCAATAATCTTTGAAAAGACTCTTCACTTAATAAATTTTCAATTAACATGTACTATAGTCCATATAAGCAAGCATGCAAATGCTACCTTTCACAGTCAATAAATCCGATGTGTTTAGTTCTGACACATGAAAGAATAATCACATCCTTCTCCCCTCCTTGAAAGGCATCAACAGTAGATATCTACACAAATATTGACAAAAATTTCGCCAGCTCTAGAAAAATACCGTGATCCATAATCTCAACTTCAAAAAAACTATTTTCCAGAATTTTTTGAAAAATGTTTTTAATTCTCAGAAATTTAAAAAAAATTCTCGGAATCATGCACCCTAGCACCATCAATGCAGTCATGACTGGTGGATCCTGTCATCGAAAATCCCAGAAAGACTGGCTAAGCTGGCAGAAAATTTTAGGGCATTGCGCAATGCTAACAGACACAGAAAAAAATTTATAAGAAAGAATATTACTGAGCTCGGCAGAAACGTTGACGGCCCCAAAACATAGGATCTCAGAACAAAAAAGTTATTTCTTGCTATGTTATGATACAATCGGAATCTTCTCTTGTCTTTTCATTGTCTTGAAAATCTCACTGATCTCCAATGCCAACCAGCCACCTGTTGAGGGTACATTTAGAAGACGAGGCCATATACCTGTATTCCAGCCCATTCTTTGTGAGATGTTCCTCTATATAATAAAATAAAGGTTGGATTAGATTTCCATTGTCAAGTTAGTGTAACGCATAATGCTTCAAATGTGTCAATAAACTCGCGTGTACCCATCTGCGGACAATGAACTCGTGATGGTTGTTAGCTGTGACTTGTATTGAGTGATGACACCTAAACAGAGAGAAATTTCTTATTACAATTTGTAATATGTATTTTTATGTACAAAGTGTATTGAACATTTTTTATGTAAAAAGTGTATTGACTTCATTTGGAAACCAGAAGTTACTAAGTATACATTCCCACACAGCTACACTTTTGAGAAATGCTTAATAGTATAATGCATACCTATCTGCTTTGGTTCAACTTCTGATTCCAAAAGTGATTTAATTAATACGACAACAAATTTAGCCTAAATGAGAGATGTACTTTCATGAACCAATAAATATCAATACCACTGCAATTTGTGAGACAAATCACCTTAAACGTTATGATTTGTTATATTTCCAGACAAAACTTATCCACGACAACAACAACAACAACAACAACAACAACAACAGCAACAGCAACAGCAACAACAACAACAGCAACAGCAACAGCAACAACAACAACAACAGCAACAGCAACAGCAACAGCAACAACAACAACAACAACAGCAACAGCAACAGCAACAGCAACAGCAACAGCAACAGCAACAGCAACAGCAACAGCAACAACAACAACAACAACAACAACAACAACAACAACAACAACAACAACAACAACAACAGCAACAACAACAACAACAAACCTAATTCAACACCGTGAACCATATCGTTCAAGAGTTTCTATAAGTTAAAATACTTTTACCTCAGCACTGTTGAAGTAGCTGCCATCTTGGGAACACTCCTCTCTGCCGTTGCTGACATTGTAGAAACAAAGTGTTGGAACAAAATCCTGAAGTGAAAGAAAAGCATACTCACAATCCAGTAAAGATAAGTTTCAACATCTTCTTTATATATTTCTATTCAGCTATCTAGCCGACAAAAAATGTATATTAAGCTCTTAAATAAAATAGTTCCAATGGTACATACAACGAGAGGTTCACGTTCCTCGGCATTGACACCATCCAACAAGCGGTCGTTATAAAATAGCCTAAAACAAGAAGATGAAAGAGGGATATATGGTTATAACTAGGGCACATTCGGTAGCGCAACCGTCAGACCAAAACGTCAGACCAAATGGTCAGAGGAAATCGTCAGACCGTATCGTCCGATGAAGACTCATGACACTTATCTTTACTAAGGTGTCTAGCAGAGGCGCTCTTATCCTTCATAATTCAGCTTAGTTCTCATCTGTGGATGAGCAGCACGTACTCACTTACTTATTGACTACTGTACATTCATGTACCTGTTTGATAATGAACTTATCACTGGGTGACAACGGTACTAAACGAAAATATAGTTCATATTATAAGACAGAACAAGGCAAGAAATCAATACAGTCATGATATCAATTTAATCTTGACATTATCCATATATAGATTTGTTTTTAAAACCTATCTACCTGCTTTCGTAGAAGAATTGGCTTCAAATCCTGTAACGAATAGTTAGGAAATTAATTTCGATGTTCAAGACTCGCGTGAGTAATAATTCTAGTCCAAATCGATGTCTTTAAAAACTGAAGTGGAACTGTTTTTGAAGTGAACACTTACCATTTTTATAAGTCTGTCAAATAGTGTTTGTTCCAAGCCAGATTCGTGTGATGGTTCAGAGCCTTGGATTGTGGGATTCAGTTGCTAAATACACAATAGAGAAGTTCACATTTTGAACTGTCTGTGCCAGTGTAGGCAGTGCCAATAAAATGAACAAGTTTTCGTTGGCAGGGATGGAACTACCTAAAAAATATAAGGAGAATTTCAACTTTTCGACCTTCAGTAACTCCAAACGAAGAGCCTTCGCTCGAAACGTCGAAATTCTTCTTATATATTTTCAGGTAGATGCATCCCTACCAACGACAGCAAGTTCAGATTTTGACTTCCACTACGGCTACCACCAACCAATTAGATGCGTTTAATCTACCCACTTAATCAATCAGATGCGTTTAATCTACCCAATTAACCAATCAGATGCGTTTAATCTACCCAATTAACTAATCAGATGAGTTTAATCTACCCAATTAACCAATCAGATGAGTTTAATCTACCCACTTAACTAATCAGATGAGTTTAATCTACCCAATTAACCAATCAGATGAGTTTAATCTGCCCAATTAACTAATCAGATGAGTTTAATCTACCCAATTAACCAATCAGATGAGTTTAATCTACCCACTTAACCAATCAGATGAGTTTAATCTACCCAATTAACCAATCAGATGCGTTTAATCTACCCAATTAACTAATCAGATGCGTTTAATCTACCCAATTAACTAATCGGATGCGTTTAATCTACCCAATTAACTAATCGGATGCGTTTAATCTACCCAATTAACTAATCGGATGCGTTTAATCTACCCAATTAACTAATCGGATGCGTTTAATCTACCCAATTAACCAATCAGATGCGTTTAATCTACCCAATTAACCAATCAGATGCGTTTAATCTACCCAATTAACCAATCAGATGCGTTTAATCTACCCAATTAACCAATCAGATGCGTTTAATCTACCTACCCAATTAACCAATCAGATGCGTTTAATCTACCCAATTAACCAATCAGATGCGTTTAATTTATCCAATTAACCAATCAGATGCGTTTACTCTACCCAATTAACCAATCGGATGCGTTTAATTTACCCAATTAACCAATCAGATGCATTTAATCTACCCAATTAACCAATCAAATGCGTTTAATCTACCCAATTAACCAATCAGATGCGTTTAATCTACCCAATTAACTAATCGGATGCGTTTAATTTACCCAATTAACCAATCAAATGCGTATATTAAAACAGTGAGAGGTAAGGGTAATGCAAGTCAGATCTGAACCTCTCCAATAAAGGAACAGGTAGTTAGGCAAATGAAAGATTGAAAGGCAAATTGACATAACAAATGAATTCTAATATAAATTTTTAATTATAACAAAAAAATGATAAGAAAAAAAATTATCTCATTTTTTTCATCACTGCCCTCTTACTTTTGGGTCACCAACAAGTACCAGCTTTCTGCATCCAAACCTAAAAAGGGGAAAGGAAAATATATTAGAATCAAGCAAACATGGCCGCTATAGTATATACCCTTTAGATGTCTCTGCAAATATTACCTTGCCATGGGAAGCAAGGAAGTCGGTTCAGTCATTTGGCTGCATTCATCCAGAAGTAAAACCTAGGGGAAAAGTTTGAGATTCGGTACACAGTCTGGTTCTTATCAAGCGATAAATTAATTTTTTGAAGTATGAAACTAAATGATTTAAAATGCGAAAACATATTTGTCATGATCTTTCTCGATGAGCTTCAGAGCTCTTGAAGAAAATGATTTCAAATATGTTTAATTAAATATAAAAATATTTGACAGTTTACCGGGAACTTCAATCGTTCAAGTGCTGCAAAGGTACAAGCTGCACACGTGACTCCAACCACACGGACATTAGCCAATCGCTAAGGCATACAGTAAAGGTTGTTGATAATAAATAGGATTATGGAATTTGCACACGAATTTTAAAACTGATAATGAAAGACGGTTAGCACTTTTTTCGCCCTATCGATTTTCTAAAGTCGTTTCTTTTTGGATTTTTTATTAATTCAGTTAGGGTTAGGGTTAAAGTTAGGGTTGAGGTTAGGGGTTAGAGTAGGGGTAGGGTTTGGGTTAATTACATAGCCATTTAACACCTCTTCCATCTTCCGAAAATGATGTCAGGTCATTTTGCTGGATGGAAAATAGTGCTAACCATGAAAGATCTCCAAAGCACACTGTATACCTTTCTGTTCTCTCCCAATTTATGCATTTCAATGCTCTTACGGACGTACCTAAAGAGTAAAGTAGCACAGTTTTCTCGGTGTCCGCGGAGTATCAAAATTCCCGAATAAGACACTGAGAAACAACACAGGATATTTAATCTAGATATACGATAAGGTTCACATAATTATATGGTTGTCGGACAAAAAAATAATTTTTCAGAAATTCTTTTTTCTCTAAGTGATTGCATGGATTCTATATTTGAACTCGTTCCATGTGCATTTCTGGTGCGTTTTTTGTTCGGTGATTTGTAGGCAATACGATATTTATACTAAAACTGTCTGTACCAGTGTGGGTAGTACCAATGCATGCATGTGAAAATGCTGTGCTAAGTGGTTATATTACTATCTGAAATAAACAAGCAGAAACTCGACGTTTCGAGCGAAGGCCCTTCGTCAAGAGTTAGTAGCCAACTTACGATACTTACGTCAAGAGTTAGTAGCTTTCTATACGATACTTACGCTTTCTCCGAGCTCGTCAATTCTGTTTTCAACATTCCTTGTAATTCCTTCAATTCCTGCAACTCTGTTCCAGTGCTATGTATGCTGAACGGTAATACGGGCTTCGCAATCTTTCTCACGCTACCAACTCGCACAAACTGATCGAATCCAAGATCAAGAAGTCTAGAACGAACAGGTTTGTAATATTCCAATTTATTTAAGTCTTATACTATATTATTAGAGATTTATAAATGTTTTTCCACTTTGAGGTGGATGGAAACAGGGATGGTTCCAGCATAATCTGGTAGAGGAGGGGGAAGGGGGGGGGGGTGCTCTGCCAGCTCTGGTGCCCATCAACTTGTTTGACTACTGCAAAGTCTTGCTTGACTATACTGTATTTGAATTGTAATTGTTGTTCACAGTTCGCTTATCATCATATTATTACTCAAATTGGCTGTAATATTTTTTTTGCTTTATCGTGAAAAATAGCACACCTCCTCTGGCCAGGGCTAGGAGGGGGGGGGGGGGGGGGGGCCCACCCTCCCTCCCCAGTAAATCCATCCCTAGATGGAAAGCCTTCGCAGGTAAAACTTCAATGGGCAAGTTTCACTAGAACTTTCTTCAAACTCCTTATACAATGGTAATTATGGAATCTAGTTTCCTTGATATTAATTTCATTTTTCGTACTGTGGATATACGCTCTGGATTTAATCGAATTCAAATAGTCTTTCTATAGAGCATGATTTCACCATTTTTAGTAGGTCAACTTTGGTCGGCCACCAAATACCAAAAAAGCGTATGTGTGTGAAGAAATTATATTATTTAAAAGTTAACATTTTCAAAACTTACCCAAGAAGAATTCTATCAACGGCCACATTCGTCGTCGATGAAATAAGAATCTTCCAAGTGATGGGTCGTGTTCTACAAATCGAGGGCAAGAACGCAGGTACTGTACTTAGACATGCAAGGTCTACAAGGGTATAAATTCAATATACCCGCTTCTTTGTGAATATTAAGGTTTTAAGGTTTTATATTTCCTAGGGATGTTGGAAGCACGGTGTTTAAATAGTTTAATCCATGTACTGTTTAACAGTAACTCGCTGGAGTTCGGTTAGTTTGGGTTTCGAACTTGTAAATTAAATATAGAGTAATTCATAATTTCTTTCTTACCTTGCTTCATCAGATGCGTCCGCAATCTCAAATAATCTCACCATCAGTAAAACAACTACGGCCAACAAAAAACTCTTCCCAGCTCCAAATACACCTTGAAAAACAAAAAGAATACTAACACTAATAAAGACGATTTGCATACAGCACAAGAAAGACAACTAAAATAAAGAACACCCACCCCGAATGTAAACCATGTACTCCCAATAGATAATACCCTGGATAATACGATGCTTGCTACACCATTTACTGTATTTACCGTGTATTAGCGTAATAGGAAGGCATTCCATTCTGTCTTCATTTTCTGAGAGAAACATTTTTGCACAAGAACGAAGGGCAGCTGCTTGGTCCTGTTAACATCATAATCACGACAAAAGCATGAGATTAAAATTTATAATAAATTATTGTTACTGTACAGTTTATAAACTCACCTTATTAAGCTTGTGCAATGCAATCATTTCCTCTGTCTCTTGTTCCTATGTTTAAATTATATAGCGTGTTTCAATTGAACCCTCTAATACGTTGGGTTTTAAGGTGCGGGTTACTGCATGAATCTTTCAACCAGGGAAGGAAAAAAAAATTTTCTTCCTGGGAGCATAACCTGGAGACAAAAATCTCCTGAAGACCAACGGAGTATTTTTGTGCCTAAATCTGCATGTCTTCTACAGACTATAATTCTAAAACTTTACTTACAATTACTTGCCAGGAAATTCCCAGCGAGTTTCTGTCCATGACGCCAGAGAGGGGTGCGGAGAACGAGTGACGTTGAGTGCGTTGGGAACTGTACGAAGGACGTGATCTAGAAAATACAATCATGGAAGATACTAAAACAGAGACAAACATGCAAATATTAGTACATTGTGTTTGTGATGTTACTCGCCCGGTGTGGATATACACTCAGAGTAACATCACCAACACAGAAAAAATCATATTACTAGATTGCATTGATATCGAAGGAACTAGACTCAGTTCTGAAATACAGGTATCATCAACTCGAACCGACTTGACCACGTAGCTCAGTTGGTAGAGCATTGGACTAGTATCCCAAAGGTCGCGCGTTTGATTCCCACCGTGGCCAAGCTAACTTTCCAGCCTGCCTGGTGTGCGGGATGCACACTCATCGCATCATCGCATGCACGCAACATCACAAACATCATATTCACCTGAGTACATAACATCAACACACACACAAAAAAAATTATTACATTATTTGGCAATCTTATTGGTGAGTGGGTTTAAATAAATTTACATGCATATGATATCAAATTTGATAATCATATAAAGCAAGTGCTTGGTGACCCAACCCTTACGAACATTCCACATATGATTTCGCATTGATGAACTGTTCCAATTCCACAGAAGAAACATGTGAAATTCATTTCTACATATAAACCTTCAATTTCACATGCGAAAAGTTGTACAGTAGCTACAGTATGTGAAAACAAGATTTCGTATGTGAAAATTCTAAATTTCACACATGAAATGACCATTATCACATGTAAAATGTTCACATAAAATTTCACATGTGAAATGACATCATGTGAATTTTTTGTGTAAAGGATAAACTACAGACTGCTGATTGTAGGATGTGATTCTTGCTCTTTCTATAGACCCATTGCACATGACGTCACAGCGCCGGTGCATCTGGAGGACAACTTTTTGTAAACAAAGCAAATTTTGTAAAACTTTATAATAATGTTGTATTAAAATGGTTCATTTTTGCGCTGTATGTGGTTGTCGTGCCCGAACAGATATTGTTTGGAGCATCTGGAGGACACTCTAAGGATTTGTGACGTCAGTGCAATGGGTCTATAAAGGATGAGACTTACCCATTCATTATATATGGCAGAAGAGGCATCTGTTGTAGTGTGGCATAATCATCGAGGTTCTGTATACAGGATAACTCCGTACCAGCATTGCAGGCCCAGATAGCATGAACAGTATCACCAGATCTCCAGTTTGATGGTGAATAACCACTGATGGGCTCAATCTCAAGATCACCAGATGATGAAGGTCCATAAAACATACTCTTCGCCACGAATGTTGTTCTCGGTTCAAAGTTGATACTTTTAGAAATAATCCAGATATCATCTTTCGTATACAACGACGAACTATCTCTGTACTTCAATACGATGTACATCACTTTCTTTCCATAATCTGTATTGGAACCTTTTTTAGAGTATTTCTGTAAAAATAATACACATGAAAAACATTTTCAAAATACAGCGACAAAAAATGAAATACAGTGCCAAGAAATGAAATACAGTGCAAATTTCATTGACCCAAACATTTACAAGTGACAAAAATGGCTGGCGTTTTCAGCAGATTTTCTATTAAAATTATTTATATTAAAATTAACTATTTCGCATGTGATCTATGCACATCAATACAAAACTTTATTTTAACCACGCTAGCCTCAACAGCCGTTGGAAGGCTGGTTTCCATGAGGGGCGTGAAATTACCTATTACAAGAAGTTAACATACAGGAAATACAAAATATAACAAAATAAAAAAAT